GGACTGATTGGAGGTCGAAGACCTTAGGCGCAACGCGCAATGCTCCTGGTGGGGCTCTGGAGAGTCATGAACTCGCCTCTGCTAGGAACCAAAAGCGCTTTTGGCGCGGATATTGGACCGAGTCGGTCAATATGTTGGATGTCGGGATATCCGACTTTGTAGACACTGTAAGTATCGAGGACAATAGTCCTGGGCGAGGCCCAAAGACTGTCGATAGTGTCGTTGAGAACCCACATATGACATGTGTCATGTTACATCATCAAACACCGTGAGTAGTGTTGGTGGCTGCAAGCCAGGATGTCAGGGCATGAGTTCAAGTGACATGGGTGACGAGAAACCGACCCTGGAGGGCTGAGTGAAGTCATCAATGGATGTTATCTTTGAGGACAACGAGGTGCATGCACCTAACAACGAGGTACTGACCCAAGAGGGTCAAGTGAAGTCATCAATGGATGTTATCTTTAAGGATAACGAGGTGCAAGCACCTAGTGACGAAGTACTGGCCCATGAGGGTTGGGCGAAGTCAAAAATGAATGTTGTCTTTGAGGATAGCTAGGTGCAAGCACCTAGTCACGAGGTACTGGCCCAAGAGGGTTGGGCGAAGTCAAGTATGACGGTTGTCTTTGAGGACATTGAGGTACAAATAACTGATGGCGAGGCATTGACCTAAGAGGGGCGGGGTCAGTCAGAAACGAAGTGGTCTTTGACCTTGAGGTGTGTACACATGTGGACGCTGATGTGTCGGATGCTGAGAGCATCATGAGTAGCGATGATGATATTGTGAGTGACGATGATATCGAGCAGCTATGTACACTCGTCAATGGTTTGGCTGGGGATGTTGAAGAGTCGGTGGATCTTTCATCTATACCCGCAGTAAGTGATCTGTTAGAGCTGGACGAGTTGTCCTTTGCCGAGTTTGGCAGTGCCTTACAGGCAGGCGACATCGCCGAAGTGGTCGTTATACGACCTGAGGAGGACTTAAACTTCTCATCGCTTTTAGATAAAGCAGTACTTGAGGATAACAAAAAGGCGCTGAATGCGCGTAGTGGATCACAGATACTGAAGGACCCTTCGGATCCTTATTTTCCTTTGTTAAAGGATTATGGATATGTTGTCTCCAGAGAATCTCCGACGAGGTTACCTCTGGATAGAGGTGTACGTCATGAGATGGACTTGGTTCCAGGAACCAAATATTGTTTGACGCAACAGTGTCCGCTGCCACGAGAACAGCGCGACGTCGTTGAAGAGATCTTTCGTGCAAAGCACGCGGCTGGCATGGTGGGTGAGAGTAAGTCTCCTCACTCTACGCCCAAGTTTTGTTTGAGAAAGACTAATGGGAAGTGGCGAATAGTGCATGCTTACATTAATTTGAATGCAGCCACTATCCCGGCTCAAATATTGATTCCTCGCAAGGATGTTCTTCAGAACAATATGGTGGGATGTACGATGTACAGTGCCCTCGACCTAGTCGATGGATATTGCCAACTGATCATGCGAGCTAGTGATATCCCGCTGACAGCTGTCAGCACCTCGAGCGGTATACTCTAGGAGTGGTTAGTGATGTCCCAAGGGCTGTCTAACGCACTCGCAATGTTCAATCGTCTAGTGACACAGTTGTTTCGGTCCCATAGGGCTTATACACAGACATACTTTGACGATATATTCGTCCATAGTCGAGCCGTAAATGGCAAGACTGATGTGGAGAATCACATCGAGCACCTGCGAGCTGTGCTTGGTTGCATGAGGATGTATCATTTGTATAACAATATATTGACAATGCATCTTCGGTGCGGAAGAAATTCCCTTTTTGGGATGCTTCATTGGGAAGCGAGGAATCCGAGCAGACCCTGTTAAGGTCAAAGACATAGTGGATTGGCCGGTTCCGAGGAACCAAAAGGACCTCCGCAAGTGGTTGGGCTTGGCAAATTACTTGGACAAGTATAGCCACAACTATGCGGAAGTGGCTAGACCATTTTTTGTCGGATCTCCTTACAAGGATGTGGAATGGTGTTGGAACACCGAGCACCACGAGGCTTTTGAAGCCATGAAGGAGAGTCGCCTTCAGGTGCCAATTCTGGCGCTGCCTGGTCCTGATAGCCCGTCTAGAGCCGTATGTGAAGCTTTGGACTTTGCCATTGGCAGTGCACTTTTGCAAGTTGACGCTGGAGGTCGAAAACGCGTCATAGCATTTAAGTTTCGCCAGTTGAAAGCTACAGAGAAGACCTATCCAGTTCATGACAAGGAGCTACTTGCCATGGAGTACTCCCTTGTTAAGTTCAGGGTACACGTGTTTAGCTCAAATCCGTTTGTTATCTATACCGATCATGCGTCATTACGCACAGCGACACAGTCGCCTCATCTCTCGCAGAGAATGGCTCGTTTGCTCTCCTTTTCCGCGGAGTATAACTTCGAGGTGAAGTATAAGCCGGGAAAACAGAATGTTTTGGCTGACGCGTTATCGAGTAGACCTGACTATGAGCTTGTTCATCTCACTGTTGTGAAATCATCAGTAACGGATCCACTCCGGGTAGCGTATGCACGGGATGAGGCATGTGTTGCCTTTATGCAGGTGCTGGGTAGCGTAGAGTTTAAACACTCTAAAGATGAAGCTGCCACGTAATCGTGCGAGAGTTCATCGATAAACACTTACCGATGGTCTGTTGTACTACAGTACAGGATCGGATGAACAGTCTCGTGTTGTGGTGCCTCATGATGAGGACTCAAGTATCAGATACTTTATGAGGCTCAGTATACACCACTTGGTTGTCATTTAGGTCGTGAGAAGACCTACAGCTCGGTGAGCACCCATTATTGGTGGCCTAAGTTGTACAAATGGGTTGGCACCTACGTATGCACGTGTGAAACGTGTCAAAGGGTGAAGCCCTCGCCTAATATGGCTGCGCCTTTGGCGAGTTTGCCTGTACCCTCGGGGTTGTGGCAGTCCATTAGTATGGACTTTGTGTTTGGCCTACCGCGTGATGCGGCAGGAAACACTGGGATTGTGGTCTTTGTTGACCGGCTGAGCAAGATGGCTCACTTAGCGGCAGTGCCGGACTCCATTGATGAAGAAGGAACAGCTAAGCTGTTTATGAATCGTGTGTTTATGACAACACGGATTGCCTGTGGCAATCGTCTTTGACAGATATCCCCGTGTTACGGTAAGTTTTGGACGTCAGTCTTTAAAGTGCCAGTCACTCGACTGGACATGTCCACGACGGATCATTCACAGACCGATGGTCAGACTGAACGCGTCAATCGCGTTATTGGTGATATGCTTCGCAGTGTTTGTACTGAAACACCAAAGCAATGGAGCACGATGCTCCCACTCATTGAGTTTGCGTTTAATAACGCAGCGCATGCTTCGACAGGCTTCACTACATTCTATGTGAACGGTTTGGTCAGCCTTCGCGTTCAGTTAACGCTACCCCCTGCCACTTCAGGGCTTAGTGGGGGGAGAGATAGCCGAAGGCTTGGCTGATATCAGCCCTGTTGCGATGCGCAAGAAGGTGGAAGCGTTTCTGTCAACGCGTTTTGGCGTATTACGTCGTGTCAAAGACGCTATGGCTGAAAGCTAGGATGTTCAGAAGGAACTACGCGGATGCCAAAGGCAGAAAAAACGAACATGAGTTCAAAGTGGGTGATTTAGTTCTATTAAACGCTACAAAATTCCCTACTCGTGCCGTTTTGGTAGTATACAAATTTAAATTACGACCACGTTTTATTGGACCCTTTAAGGTTATAGGCCGAAAGGCTTAGCCTATACGCTGAACCTTCCGAAGAAGATGCGATCATATCCTGTATTCTACGTGGGCTTACTAAAGCCATACCTCAACACTGCCTCGGTGGACTTCGAGGGGTTGTCCCCATATCCCCGGCCGAAGGAGGCGGGTAGTATGGCACCGGAGGTGCATATGGACGCTGAAGGCGTACCAAAAGATCATGGATGGATGGGTCACCGACCCCCTCCAACGCTGACTGATGAGCTGGGTTATCAACAGTTTCACGTCAAGCGTCTATTGGCGCGACGTCTTCATCAGGGCCACACCCAGTATCTGGTAAAGTGGAGGGGTTTTTCGATTCGTATGACTCATGGGAGTACGAGGTATACCTACGTCAAGACTGCCCGGACGTCGTTGAATCTTTTGATCGGGAAGATCAGAAGCGGCGACAGCAGTCGCCGGATGCCTCCTAGCACTAAGTGCTGTGGAAGCAAGTTCAGTAGTTAGGCTTCACCTCTGACCTTCTTGGGAAGCAGTTGCTGGTACCTCACTCACGTGAAAAGCACTATTGTCTGCTTTAGAAGCAAATTTACGACACTTTGGGGCTTTATATAAGCAAGTGGTAAACAATGTTGTGCTTTATAAGCAAAATAACACTGTGGAGCTTTATATAAGCAAGTGTGAAACACTACGAAGCTTTATCAGAAGGTACAACACATTGGGATTATAAAAGCAAGTGTTTTAAGCACCTAAAGGCTTTACAGAAGCAAGTGTTCAACACTAACGTGCGTTACAAACACGTGTTAAACATTTGGATGCTTTATAAGCAAGTGCTGAACTCGAAGGTGCTTTAAAAGCAAGTGTTTAGCGAAAATGTGCTTTGTAAGCAAGTGTTGTACACTTAGGTGCTTGATAAGCTAGTGTTATACACTATGGTGCTTTATAACCTAGTGTTATACACTATGGTGCTTTATAAGCTACTGTTAGATGCTATGGTGCTTATACGCTAAAGTGAAGCAAAAATGTGCTTTATAAGCAAGTGTTGAACACTTAGGCGCTTTGTAAGCTAGTGTTAGACACTGATAACATGTGAACTAATCGTGTCAGCAGTGGGCCAGCAATGCAATCTGACCATTTGCAGCTTTGGAGGCAGTTTAAACGGGACGTGCAGCTCTACTTGAAAGAGACGACACGTCGTCACTCTATTTCGACTGCTGCCGGCTACAACGTGGCTGATCGCTGCATCGCGCCGACTCAGACGCTCGTTCATTCGATGATTGGATGCGGATTGTATCTTTTGAGCCTTTACTAGGCCAGACTGATGGCATACACAACACGAAGCAGAATCAGGAGACCAATAATATCATTTATGTAAGCACGTGCTTCTACGCTACACGCTGTCAACTAAGTTGCTGCGTTTGGGCATAAGCAAAATGATAAAGTGGTCGTTGCTTCGTCGGTGCCGTCGTTGCTGCATTTGTATCGTCCTGTAAGTGCTCCAAGTCTGCGACCTCAGTTCGGAGAGATTGGCAACAGTATGACTGGGCGTCGCGAAAAGCGTAAATCGTCCAGGAGATGTTGTGGGGTCAAGAGGATAGATAAAAGCAAAAAAGAAGCTAAAGAGATAGTGACACTGAAGGTTATGCTGCTGTGCTCACTGGACGCGGAACAAGTGGAAGTGGTAGTAGATGAAGATTACGACGAGTTGAAAAGAGTAGAGCGCCAGCAAATGCAGCGAGTTCGACACGATGCACTACTGTTTGGAACAAGTTGGGAGCATATTGCTGGTGGACGGACTATGCGGTGTCTTCTTGCCGAAAGTTTGGTGGAAGTAGCATTGTAAGCGTGCAACAAGCTCGTATAAAACCAGTGCGTGTTTGCTCCCAGCCTACAGGGATTCAGCTTTCGCGACGCAATCACAGCAGGTGCTGCAGTATATTGATCGGGACGTCCAATGTCGCGATGATGCACTAAGGTGCGGCGGAGGCGGTGAAAGATAATGGAAGAGCTTTGGCGGTTCGGCTGGATCCGTCCAGGCTCATGCATTATCTGAGAAATCATAAAAGCGTGTCTTTTTGTTTCTAAGCCCCGAGACGTTGATCAAGCACGAGTAAGTTGAAAAGCAGCTTCAGCTGAAAATTGAAATTATCGGAGACCTCTGACTGTTGTCAGATTGATTTCGGTTTACGCTCTTGTGTCACCCTTTGGAAAGCTCCTTACGACGTGGGTGGATTTTGTTTGCCGTTGAAACGTAATGAAACTGAATTTTAGTACTATCGAGCAAGCTTTGCAGAGCCTACCTTCAGCTTCTGAAACAATATAGAGCCTTTACGTGTTATATGAGTCAACAATGTCGAAAGGGTAGCTGAAAGGCTGTTTATTATCACCTCTTACTATTCATTGTCTCGTACACTCCAGCCTTTCCTCCCAAACTTCACAATCTACATGGATTTCGTTCCAACCAAAAAGTCGAATCCACCGCAACTAAGCTATATGTATCTTTGGTTCAATTCAATAACATAAATGCCCATCGAGACCCGCCCGAAGGCGTCGTGTTGTCATGAACAGAGCTCCTCCAGAATCGCATTATTCTTGTGTGAAGTAGCAGAGTACGCTTTGACAGATTTGCACGAAGAGCATGGTGAACTGTTGTATTCACAATCGCTCCGCGAGACGTGGTCACAACAAATTGCATGATCCGATACGTGTGACATCGAATGTTCTCGCGGTTTTGTACTTGTCCAGTTATCATCAAACTTTGACAAAATACATTCCGATTTCGCAGAAGACTGCTCGGAGACGAGTGAAGACTCGCTTACAAGGGACATGTTGTACACCAGTCGTGCTGTAACATCTGCGTGATTGTCTTCATCTGTCCGCAAATTGTGCGCGGCGGATGCATTCGATGTACTGAGAGTGCTGCTAGTCAACGCTGCCCCGCTCAGACGCGACATGCCTGGCTTCAATTTGAATCCACAGCGCTTGCGCATCCGAAGTTCAAGGTCCTTTTCAATTCCAACGAAATAGCGGCTTATGGCATTCATGAATCGACGGCGATAGGAGATCGGACTGATCACTGTCGGATCACGGAAAGTAAAGCTTGCCTTCGAAGTCGATTCCATCTTCTTCAAAAAATCGAATTGATGCAAATAGTCAATGAGCCCTACAACAACTTGCCGCTTATCCTCATCAAAGCGAAGCAACTTCCATTCAAAAACACGCAAAACAACAGTACGACACGTCATAAGCATGGCGAATGTACCTTACCATAAACAAAACAAATAGACCTACCAGTGAGTAATCAATGACGCCTGCTCGATACAAAAAACCAGTGTCATGCTGAATAGCAGCCTCAATGACCTCCAAATCTGGCTGCGACACAGGAACGGGCATGCGCTCTGAAAAGTTGCCATCCAGCAGTACTGGTAAATTTATAGAGACTTGAACGCTCGATACGTTGTCGAATGGTTCATGACGGTCCTCGTCATCTCTGCTAGATGCATTGTATCGACGACGGAGGATTCCTTTAAGATCGTACATTTGCCCCGGTGGAAACCCGTACGAAAAATTCTCCATAATTACCACGTATTCCGTGTGCTTCAGTAAACGTCGACTGTGGCTAAGCTTGAACAACCCAACAATCTTTGTCATAACTGTCGGCGTTGGAACCTCCACCACTCGCGAAATGAACTTAATATACTTTGGAGCCATGTGAACAAACATGTTGAACTCAGTCACCGATATGCCCTTCAGCACATAGCGTTTGTCGTGAGTCTGGGCAAATAAAATTGATACGTAAGTAACAGTCGCAAAGCAAATTTTATCAACAGATAAGAACTAGCCCAACTTACCATCGAAAAGAATGCGCCAGACTTACCGCCACCGGTATCCCATCGCTTACTCTCAATAATAGAGTTCAAAAACTCGATATTGCCCGGGACAAGGAGTGCACGCAACGCGTGAAACTGTGCAGCAAAGTATGCCACACAGCAGAATTCGTGATTCGTGGAACCAACCGCGTAAGAAAACTTCATAGAAGTATGTTGCAAGTCCGTCGAGCGCAACTTGCTTAAATAAATCATTCTCTTCTCATCAGTAGCCACCGTAGAAGCCGTAGTCGTCGAGGCGCTGGAGCTTGAAGATTTTTCGTCCTTTATTGTGGCGGTTGCCTCAGCAAACTCTTCGTTTTTACGCGGAAATGGTGCAAAAACTTCACTGCAACTCATTTTTTCAGCTGCAAGCAGTTCTTCTGCAATATTCACTTTTTTCTCAAAATGCGCCTCCAGTTGCTCGATGTATGCTGTTGAGCAAAGGGTGTATCCGATCAAAGAACCAACGTCTTTGTCATGAACCTTCACGACGTATCCATTAACACCATCAGGAAGATCAAAATGACCCTCACGCAATGCTGCTGGTATCTCTGTATACGGCTTTATCCTAATTGCTTCGGAAGCGTGCAAGCTGTGACCGTGGTGGCTGATCGTAGTACTGCTAGAGCGGTTTGATTCTGGGACAGATGAACTTCGCTTGTCATGCCTCGATAAAATCAAAGAACTTGGTCTCTTCATCTCAAAAGAAGACCCCGATGTATATGACAACTCCAGCTTTCCAGCAGTTGAGTTCGACGCAGTTGTAGACAGAGAGCTCTCCTCACTCAAACTTGTTTGCTGGGGTCCCTTCTCCACGGGAACGCTTTCCGTGAACCAATCAAGCGGAATTCGACGCTTCGTTGGAGATTCCGCTACAATCTTCTTAATAGTTGCGTGTTCTTGAGATGGCGCAAGTGATATAATATTTTCCTGCAGTTGGCGTACTAAGAAATACAACTCTTTCAGCAGTTTGTTGCACCTAAGAACGCTGGTTTGGCCTGAACTAAAAATCACATTTGCACCAGCTCGAAACGCTTCGATAGATGCATCTGCTTCTGTTCGAAGTCTCCGAATTTCTTTCATGGGTACACACGGCAATGTCGAGGGTAAGAACTCCTGCGCAGTACACAAATTTTCCTCCAAAATATTAATATTTTCAGATATAAATGCGACCGCCGTCTCAATTACTTCGTTCAGAGCTTCACTGAAATGTTTCGCGTAGTCACGACGACAACTCGCGTCCGTGTTGCATTTTGATTGCATCGTTGACGAAATGAACTTGTAAGGTCTCCAAGCACCACGAGTGTGCTTTTGTTTAATGCTATTGTTTTCTCCATTCAACTCGTTGACCATCGAGATACTGACAGTCGAACCGTCTTCCTCCGTGGACGATCGCACACGTCGAAAGCTTCGACTTCTCGAGCTACTTTCAGACTCGTCCGCTGCAAAAAATGACGCCCGACTACGAACAATCATCTCACTCAGTGCTGAGATCCAAGAAGCGCGCGACGTACCGTCCACGGCATTTAACCGTAGTGTGCGCTCTCCGTTACATATCGAAAAGTGAAACTGACGCGGCTTGGACTCTTCCTTGATTAACAAGGTCGTGTGTCGGTCAATGAGCTCTTCACTCACCTGCACCATTGATGCTCGATCTCTTAAGCACACGAGACTGCTTGAGTCCCACCGCAATAAGAAATAACGTAGTTTCCAACTGCGTGACAGCGAGCCCCTTACACCCAGCCAACCTTCCTTCTGAATATCGTCATCGGTGAAGTTCACACGCACCAAATTTGACGACTTTTCTTTCGTCGACACTCGATGGTAATACTTCTTGATCGATTCTCGATACACACAATAGTATCGACGAACTGCTAGACTTTCCGACACTCTCGATTCATGGACATCTCGGTCCTCATATCTTGGTGACAGTGCTGGGCTTGTCCTCGTCTCCTGTGCAGCTCCTTCAGCTGGAAGAGGTGTTCGAACTCGCGTACGTATCCAGCGTCTTCTTCTCAAAAAGTGGTGATAACCTCGCTTAATCTTGCTTGTGCCTTCGGCCAAGCGACAATTAATGCGTTCAATAGACGAGCCGTAGGTCCATCCTTCCTCATCGCACTGTGTGTATTCACTATCGGCCATCCAAGCATGGCTCCACAACCATTCAGATGAAGGTAAAACTCCTACTTCAAGCGAAGGTGTCTCAATGACGCCATTCAAGCGATCGTTGCGATCCGTGACACGCAATGCAGCACGTGTGAGTTCATGGTATGTGTTACCACTACGGTCACAAAAGCACTCGAGTGTCCAATCATGAAAAGGATGCAGTATCTGCACCTCAAAAGCCTCTTCAACTGCCGATTCCATTCAACGAATCACGGCAAATGCTGTGGCTGTGGCTGCTTGATAGTCGACGACACTTCGCACGAATTGGCACTTGAGGGGTATTTGCTAAAACAGAGGGGTATTTGCTGTCATGTATGTTTTTGAGCCAATGGAAAAAAAGTATGATGGTCTCGTTTCAGCCAATAAATAGCGTCAGTTTAATGTCAGCAGACGGGGCGAAATCGTGTAGCCACATCGTAATGCTAAAATAAGTTGTACAGAGCAGCGACATTTATTTTTGTCCGTGCAACAACATTCAAAATTGTCCTATGACTTGGACTTACACCATGAAGCAATGCTAATCATTATGGATGTCATCAAAAATGTCTGTCTTCCTCAGATTCATTCATCTCTGGTGGCAAAAAACGTCTATCGTGTCTATGCCGTAGAATCTGTAGCTCATAAAGCGACTAGTGTGTGACATTATATCTAGGTTAGGAAAAATACTGGTTCGAACATTTGTCGTGGTGTCTAGAAGGAAATGTCAGTGGAGCTTGTGTGTTACAATGTTACACAAGATGGTGGTGGTTGTAAGTAAATGCAACAAATAAGGTGGCAAAGTAGACTGCAAACAAGTAGTTTTCTTGGTCTTTTCGCTATGCTGACTAGAAGTTGTTAGTTGAAAAGAAAACCAAGTGTCCGTAACAACTTTCTGCTGATTGTAGATGCTTTTTTGGGAATGTGTCCGCATTCAGTGCAACAACCACGTGGAAACTGTCCTTGTCAATTTTGTGAAATGGCAGCAGGTAACAGCAGATGGTGTAACGTATGATATTAAGAGAAAGATAAATAAATTGGAATCACTGAATACATGACAGGATCAATGCAAGCAAAAATATGCGTTTCTTATTTTTGAATATTGATTTGAGATGACAAATCTAAAAAAGTATTATCAATTTCACTAACCGCAACTCCACAATTGGTAAAAAAGCACTTTTTTCACGCTACTCGTTCAGTGGCGTGACCACGGATATGATGGAACATCAGAACACAAATTATGATGGCCTCAAAAGTAGTCCTACCCTGATACGCTGCTTTATTGCGTACCGTATACAAAGCTTGTCAGCGTCAAGCGATGAGTGGCATAGGGCATGCCACTCGAGTGCATTATCAGCTGATTTAACTAACGTCCGCATTCCCAAGCCCGCAGTAGCTTTCTCTGCCACTCTAGGCGATCTTGATGGTTGTGACACTTTTTTTTGATTCGACTGACTAAGGAGAATCTGTACATTCATTTTGGACCTTACCATCAAGATCTTTTTATGTCTTATTAAGACCGTTTTATGTGTGGTTTTCCTAAAAAGCGATCAAATTGTGAAAGTAACGTTTACATGCTATCATCCGTTACTTCACACACACACACCCTCTCCCAAAAAAAAACACAAAGAAGTTTCTTGCGAGAAGCCACAAAAGGCCTACAGTAATCCTCCCTACAAAAAGACGCGATTAAAGTCAGTCAAGTCAGCCGAGACACATCAATTCGAATTACAGGAAAAAGGGAGGGACCAATATTTGACCTCATTTAGTATCTACCACTTGGTAAAAACGTTAGCAAAAATCAGTTGCCCAATCTAACGCGGGACCCATTCCCATTCGTCTCATTTCTTGATTCCTTGGAATTAAATTTGTAGACTGCGTGATGCTTTTTGGATCGCAGTATGATGAAGAAGGAGGCACGGATTATAGTGGCAGCCCTGCAACGCCATCACAGACATCACGTAAGACAAAGTATAGTGCTTCAACCTCGTCGACGTTTCGTAAAGGCAATCGGATGAACACTCGTCGAGTCAAAACACGGCCGAGTATGGGCAGTGCTGTCTCTGCTGTCATTGCAGTGGGTCAGAGCACGTCTTCATTTGATTCAACAACCTCGTCATCCGCGCCCGCTGCGTCCTATTTGCTGGCCAACCAGCGCACTAGCAATAACCACAGCTTCAACTACGCAGGTTTTGATGGGAATACATGTACAAATGGCAACCACAATAATGCAGCGATGAATGTAGCAGCACTACTACCGAAACACAATACACGAAGACGCGGCCTTAAAAAGAGAGGAGAGAGATTGAAAAGACCGAAGCGACCGGCGGACCGCCAGTGCGTGTATCCGAGTGTCTGGAAGCAGCTACAGTTTCGCAAAAAAGTCGTACAGCTAGCCACTAATTTGAGTGAAAAACCCATTTGCGTGACGGGCGTGGATGGTTTCTTGGCTTCGTGGATTGTGTATGAGCTTCTCAACCGCGGCTATCGTGTGCGAGGTACCGTGCAGAACGGTAAAGACGATATCTCGGGGCTGCTTCAGCTACCCAACGCAAGCAAGAATTTTTCGGTCGTCGAGACGTCACTGTTGACACCCGAGGCTTGCGATATGGCTGTTCAAGGTGCGTAATTGTGCTCAAGATGTGATGGTCTAGGTTTAATTTGTGATCTCACGCGTGCTGTATATGATTTGACAGGGTGCGATTTTGTCATCCACACGGGTACTCCTTCGTCCTGTTCGGTACGAGACCCGTTGTCTGAGCAGCATGAACCAGGCGTGCACAGCATTGGTAGTCGAATGCACTGCATTATCCCCATGATGACAAATTTTATTCAGGCATGTGCACGATCGCGTATTAAAAGGGTCGTCTTGACCTCATCTATTGCTGCAATGGCTGACTCAGTGACACCAGGTTCAATCATAAATGATGCGTGTTGGAACGTAACGTCATCACTAGAAAAGAATCCGCACTTTTTGAGCTTGAAGCTGGCCGAAGAAGCTGCATGGCAGCTAGTGGATCAATTGCCTAGCGACCGTCGCATTGATTTGGTAACGATGAACCCTGGCACTTTATTTGGTCCAATGCTTTCGAAGTCAAAACTGGCACCTGGGAACCAAGTCATATACGACCTGATTACGGGTCATTACTCGGCTTTAGTAGATTTAAATTGGAGTATGATTGATGTTCGTGACTGCGCTGCAGCACATGCTGCTGCTTTGGAAAACAATGATGCTCGCGGGCGCTACATATGCGTCAACAGAAGTGTGTGGATGAAGGAAATTGTAGACATATTATCTAGCAATGGTTATAGTGGCAGAGATTTACCGTGGAAGGTAGGCCTGCCGAGTTGGGTTGGGCGCTTGCCAGCATACTCAGCCCAACTCGGTCAAGTTGGTGCGTCGCTGTACACTTATGATCCTACATCTGTGCGATCGTCGCCGTATCTAGGTGACAAACTGGTTGAGCACCTAAACATACGATTCCGCTCGGTCGACTCGACAATAGTGGAATCCGCAAACGACTTACTAAAGTGGGGTCTAATTAAACCTTGGGCAGAGGATCACGAGGCGCTTGAGTGTGGTTGCTGCCACAATGCGTTCACATTTTACCGACGAAAGCATCATTGCCGGGTAAGCTTTATCGTTTATGCTTTGTTTATGAGTCGAAAGATTTCATATTGTTTTTGCTTTTATGCAACAGGAATGTGGCGTGATTATTTGTAACGACTGTTCAATGTCTCGAGCGGTAATGGAAGGAACGGAAGGGCGCGCGAGGTTGTGTGATAAGTGTGTAAAGGGATCTACTCCAGAACTTCTTGATTTGTTACGGGAAGAAGATCCCGATAAAAAGCGCACAGCGGTGGTCGCGTTGGAGTCTTTGATGGAGAACCCGTCGAACCACGACTATGTTACACGTTTTGGCGGTATCCTGCTGTTAATGGACGCAATCCATCACCCCGATGAATCGATTTCGTCACATGCTGCTGGGGCGCTGTGTGCGTTGTCGTGCAGCGTAGCTAGCACACTCCAGATGGTACTTGAAGGAGCAGTTTTACAGATGCTGGAGGTGGAAGAAACGCTTAGTACATGGGCCGTTTGCTTACAAGCACTTCGTAACATTTGGAAGCAGATAAATCGACAAGATTTCCGACGAATGCTGTATGCTGTCGCACGAGTATCTGTCGACGCTACAATTGGTATGTCACGGCATTTGTGTAAATTCTTGATTGAAGCACGGTCTAATGCGTTTTCTATGTACAGGAGAACTTCGTGGCAATATCTTGCTTACTTTTGTACACATGATGGATACCGAGGAAATTCCAAGTCTTTTGTCCGAAGGCCTGTTATCTGTGTTATATCACATGCTGCAGTCGACCGCGGAGTTTTCTCGCTGCGCTGCTGCTCACGCTATAAAGCATTTGGTACCCGCTGGATATGACCCGGATGTGACGATTGATGTGCCGCCATACGTTGTGGATGACCACGAAGAGCTTTTCTTGAACTCTTCTTTGTCAGACTTACAATTCCTTGTGAAAGGTCACATTGCCCCTATTAATGCTCACAAGGTCGTCCTTTTCTTCCGTAACTCTTACTTCAAGAACTTGGTGAGGGTAAGTATCGTTGTTTGCATGATCTCTGGTTGCTATCCGTCTTTGTTAATGGTGTGTGTCTGCAAGTGATCTGACTGTCAGTGTTTTGTTCGCATGGTGCAGTTTGGTTCAGCATCCAGTCAGACCGCTGTGATTGAAGTAGACAATTGCAGTTACGAAGTCTTTTCGATTCTGCTACGCTTCCTTGTACGTTTGTTGCAAAGCGATGTGAACACAGGACGATAGTGCTAACAATCATTCTTTCTTCTGATACTTAGTACACCGGCAAAGTTGACATAACTGCGGATGTGGCTGAAGAGTTGCTTCGGGCGTCGTCCTATTATTGCGTGTACGAGTTACAAAAGCGTACGGAGGCCTTTTTGAGCGGCCAGATTTGTGTGGAGAACGTTGTGGATCTGTTGACGCTGTCTGAAGAATGTAACGCCGACGATTTGAAGAAAAATTGCGTTCCGTTTTTGATGCGACACATTCACGAGGTTGTCCGGCTGCCTGCTTTCGGGGAGCATCGCGTACGCTCTAGCGAGGAAGTACTAAAAGCATTGACGAACATGCTTGGACCAGAGTGGGAAGCAAGCTACGCGAAGATTAAGAAATCTATTGGAGTGAAGGACAAGGAGGACGAAGCAGAGCATGCCGAAACCGAGAAGACCGATGAAGAGGAAGATTTCAATCTGGTCGAGCATCAAGTGAATGAAATTCAGGAAGCACCGCTGTCGCCGCGTTTCCTGCTGACACCCGTGCCACCTCCCAGTTTTTCGGGAAACCCATCGGCATTTGCCAGAGAATCACCACGTGGTGAAGATGCGGTGACTGATGGTTTTAACTTTATGAAGACGTTTGGTAACGAGGACGTGCTATATCGCCGTTCTCATAACTGCTCGGAGGATTTCTTGGAAGGTTTATCAGAAGGCGTGTGCTAGGTTATTTTATATATATATGAGCTACGAGGTCGTGGTTTCTGCCTTCCTTATATGCCTAAACCATTTTTTGCCTAGAATCATCTGCGAAAAAGGGTTGTATCTTGGTTTTTCTTTCTTTTGGGTAAATAAAAAGGTTCTAATTTCTCATTTATAGTCTTTTTTCTGGTAAAAAGGGTCCGTTCGGTCGTTTCTCAAGAGAATACACGCATTCCGCTGGCGCGTGCCCTTGATGGGAACAGTGTTCAATGGACGTCGCCAGGACGATGGCACAGCATTACGTGGACGAGAATAGAGAGAATAAGGCACATGGTGATATCATAATACATGTTGGAGATGCATCCACGGGCACTATATACGCAGTGATGCTGGTTTCTACAAAGTAATTATTGACCTCCTTTTTAGCTTCTAACAGCGTTAATTCGCCCCGTACTGTGTGTTAAAACGTTGCATTTCTCATACAAATCTCTTGATGTTTTGTTAGTGTCGTGGTTGAAGAGTTGCGTGATGAATTGGAGCGATTGAGCGGCGTTTCCATAGCTGACCAAATTCTACTATGTGGTCCGCCCTTTGCTCGACTCGATCCACGTCGTGCTATTGAGTACTATGGATTACCATCAGTGAGCTTCAATATGCGATACTACTATACTGCTTGTTGAACCGACAATCTCATGAAATTTTGGGTCTGTAGGAGGACAAAAAGGTGTTTCTGTATGACCGTCAATTGCTGTCACAGGAGGCAGTTATGTCTCCATCGGTGAAAGCAGCTCTTACCCCAGTTCATGTGAAATGTACGACGTTGCTGCTCTTGTTCTTCTTGGCTTTTTACAATGACATGAGATGCTCATGATGATTTGTTTTGAATTTCTATTGTCTTTCTTAGTACCGTCACAGCCGATGGCTTCGTCGGAAGGTTCAAAGATGTTGAGTGAAAGTCTTCATCCAATAATGAGAGCGTTAGCAGAGTATGAGGGCTACTTCCAGTTACAGGTCAGCCAAAGTGAAGCACTTGAGAATGGCACGCGTGCCAACATTACTGCCAGTGAACGCGGTGCACAAGAGTTGCAGGTTCAGGAACAAGCTATTGCTGCAGCTCTTGCGAACCTGGATCTGTTCAAGACGTCGATGATAAAGCATTTTACTCCATTTTGGGCGGATTTTCAAGCGACAAGCGCAAAGCACGAACGTTTGTTGAGTCAGTTTGACAGCTATCTCGACGCGTTGGCTACGGTCGAGCTTCATCCTGCACTAGTTACGGAAGAACGCAAGACTCTTTTAGACTGTATCCCTGTCGAGAAGGAGCGTGAATGGTCTGCGCAATGTGAGCAATCGCAGACGCATGTGCGAGCACAGGTATTGAAACTTCATCAGGTCCATGACGAGATCTGCAAGGAAGTCACCGATATGATGGCTGCACATGCCGAATTGAGTCGGGAGTATGACGAAGCAAGAGCTGAATTGGAACAAATGCACGCGCTGGGTAACAAGCAAATGAATATCACAAGTACGTTGCGTAGCAATTTGCATTACGTGCTTAGAAGCATTGAGGAGACGTCGATGGTAGCAAGCGGAAGTAATCCTATGCAAGCTTCTACGAATGCTCTCGACGTTTGTCGGAGAATCGATGAGTTATATCAACGCCAACAGAATATGGTATGCAACGTGGATGTGATTACAGTTTTGATTATGTTTGGCAAATAATGATGGCGTCTACTTTGTTGTTGGCGTAGGTTCCTGACGCACAGAAGCTCGTTGAAGATGTTGTAGCACAAATGAACAAGATAGCATCCAGAAAAGCTACCACATTCGCTCGAGTGCACTCAACCTTGCGTCAAATCTCTATTTCACAGTCAAAGATTCGAGATTTTGAGAACTCGTTGTCTATCTTTCGTGAGGCTGTAGCTGTCCAAAAGAAACATTTTTACGAGCTGGAACATCTGGACAAGCTACCAGGTAATTTGGCGTCACCTTATGCTCAACAATGGGAAGCGTGGGTTTTAATCTGTTTTTATGTGGTATGGCAGAATCATACGCGGCTTGCCTGAAAGAGATTTCAAGACGTCTTAAGTATGGTCGCATGTTCTCGGACCGGATCCAGTCAATGGCGGAAGAACTTGCTCAGCTGCGTGAGGACGAAGTATGTCGCTAGTGGTCACAAGAATTAGGTATGCTGCTATTGCTAACTCTGTGCTCACGTAGGTTCGACACCGTGAAAAGTTTTTGCGCAGCTACGGCCAGCATCTACCTCGTGATTTTGTTTCAGGACTGGCGGAGAAGCCGTCTCACTGCGAGTTTCGCATGCGTCCATTTGACCAAAGTCTTCCTCTTATTAATGAGGACGATCAAGATTATGATGCTTACGAAGACAAGGAGCGCTTAACTTCCGAGCAATTTGTTGATTGCAAGGATCGTGGCAGCTCTTCTGAATCGGGCGTTAACGTGGATCTCCTCCAAGAGTGCTGCAATGAAGTGGAGACGCGAGTATCAAAGCTCACTGCGGAGCTGGGACAGTCAAAAAAGGCTTTGTACTACGATGGGTCTGGAAGCGAATCCATTCCCCGCTCAGACACATCCAAAACTAGCGCACGAGAGGGAGATAGCTCGTGCGAGTTCCCGCTGGTACTGGCGTTGGCAGCAACGGCGGGTGGCATGACCGACTCCTTGGAAGCTGATCGGCCAAATCTTCTTGATCAAGATTTAGCGTCTGTGAGGCGAAAAATTGGTGCGTACCGCGAGATGAGAAAAGTGGTCATTGAACGTGTGTTTTCACTCGCTATTCTTTTGTTGGATCAGGTACTGACAACAAGGATGTGACCATTACCAAGCTGGAGGTTCGTAGTACTCATGTGGAACGAATTGGTAATAAGTAGGCATGGTTAAGTCGTTGTGATGCTATGTCGAAGCAGAGTGAAAACCAGCAATTATTGCTGAATGCGGCAGCCTTTGAAGAATATCCTTTCCAACTGATTGTGTGCATGTGGGGTGGTATTGCGTTTGACATTTCCTCTGTTTCCTTAACCGGTGTGGCGCCTTTGTTGTTTGCTGTTGATGATCTTACGGAAATTCAGGAGCGATCGAAGCGTGAGAAGCAACTGAAGGAGAGCCAGTCTAAACTTCAGCAGACGATCAAGGACCTGAGTAGCATTGTTCAATCACAGCGAACATCGATGACCAAGCTGCTGGGGCTACTTCAGCTACCCACCGTTGAGGAAGATGCCTTGTTTGTGAACAGCAACTTTGACGCTATTGAAAGGCGTGTTAGAGAGCTGCTAGCGAGTGCCGAGTCGGGATTAGTAAGTATCTGTGTTTTTGTCACTCATCCGAACCACTTACTGATGTAAAAGTACTGTGTGCTATTAGATGTTGCAGTCGGAGCTGGAACAGCGGCGGTCTGACTTTCACTTAATGGAGTCCGAGCAAGATATAAACGACTCGTTTAAGATTTCATTTCGAAGCTTTGATGTAAATGATTTGGCACTATTTTTGCCGACATCAGCACCCGGAAGTGATGCCCAGCGGGTGTATTTGGCCTTTCACCTCGGCTGTCCACACCGTTTTCTTTCGGAGGAATCCATCTCTTCTTTCAGCAATGACGGTCAAAGGTGCGATGGCAATTAGTATGTTTTTTTTGGTTTCTCTGCTTCCCTACTAATGTAACAACTGCATTATTACTAGATATCCCGACTACGTAGTGGGTCGCATCGTACTGATTGACGAGCAGACCGCGACGGAAGGTAACAACCCGTACGCGTTGCATGTTGGGACGATATTTTACGTCTTGACGGTCGCAAGTCTACATGAAAGCTAAGCGCTATTCATTCAATCAACGTCAAAAATGAACCACGCACGCACACATCTACACACAGCAAGCACAACCATTTTACTGCATAACCTTGATTGAAATATTCAGCAGTAAAGACACATCTTCCTCTAAACGCTGTGATGCTCCTTTATCCTCGTATCAGTTTTTATTCTACACCATCCAAACCAACAGTCTCTTAGAAGCAGCATTTTCGAGAACATTATTTATTCTCAGACCTTATCTTCTCCACTATTTTCTTCTTCCATGAGTGTCAATCAGCCATCCCTTGATAAAACCACAAGTGCCAAACGTGCCGTTGAACAGTTTGACCAGGAATTTCAGCGATACACTACGAAACAAGTGAGATAGATGTATTTCTTTGCTTGCTCAAACCGTGAGTGACATTTCGTTTTTGTATGAAAACTAATGTATCAATATGTAGACTGGTAAAAGTGCCCGTGCCGTTGCCATGGCTCGTGCGGAGCTGGCGAAGTATAATGCATTGGTATTCCAGGACAAGAAGCTAGAGGAAGCTGGAATAAAGAAGGGTCGATTGGCACCCGAGGTGCGTCAGGTTTATGAGAAAAAGATTAAAGAACTCGAGGAAGCTCTGGACAAATTTCACCTCTCCGTGGCTGGCTATAATCGCACAAAGGCCATGTCAGTACTTGTATTTGATGGTTTTGCTAGTGATGTTGTATATGTTGAGGTATTACATGTGTGTGTTTTGTATTAAACAGTTTGTCGTTCGTGCTGCTCGTCGCGTTTGCACTTATAATGTTCTTTCAGCCATGGGCCAAACATTTTGAGGATCCCAAGGATCTCACGTATGACGAGTATGCGACGCTAGAGGAACAAGTCACCAAGACACTGGACAAGAAGGTGGAAGTTGTGGGTACTAGTGACGAGCTGTAGATGGTTTGCAACGTTTTCACTCCATAGATTCACTGGATGCAGCATAGCTCCAGCATCCATTGTTCTGTCAATTTTTCAGGCTCAATAAAAAATGGATTCACCTTGTTTGAATGCCATTGACTACGACTTTAATAATTAACTCACTCACTGTCGTTGTTGGCTCAAGCGTCGCTGGTGCGTTGCACGAGCTGCAAACTCATGCAGCCTGACAACGTCCCTGTATGTCTTCCACCATGTGCGAGTTCCACAACAAAATTGTTCTGCTTCTGAATCCCGTCTGCTTGTTCCTCCCTGTCACTGTTCGTTGCCTGCGAAATACAAATCACACCCTGACCAAAGCACGGACCTTGAGTACCAGCATGCACTTTGATCGCCACGTGCATGTTTCCAGTCGGCCGCGCGAAGGTGGCGTGCGTAATACCGTCGCGCACGAAGTCAGCCCACTTGACATGAGCCACATTTGTCTTACACAGCAGCCGGTCCGTGTTTTCCAAGTATACGCCGCCACTCATTAATTCCGCTAGCTCCAGTAGCTTGCGTTGCGCGGAAAAAATGTCTTCTGACGGCAAGGGGAAAACGATCGTCACCATCACTTGATATCCGTGACGATCATAGTTCGAGAACCGCTGATCGAAATCAACAGAGCTGCCTACTAAAATGAGGGGAAAGTAGGCTTCGACATCAGGCTGCCACGATACGTTGCCAAATTTCAAACGTAGTCGACACTCAAGGACACCATTTACATCCTGCATCCGCTGAAGCTTTTTGGTCGAAAGTTCCGTTTCAATCGGCAGGAAGTCGCGATTGACAAGCGCTTGGAACGCTGCTAGCACTGGCTTGTGATCTGAGCAGCTGACTTCTTCACAGGACGCATATACAGCACACCGCAGACGATGACGCATATCTGGCTGAGAGAAAAACAGAATTCGATCTGTGTATGACGGCACCCGCTTCCCATGACCTTCTACGACAGTAGTGTAACACTTCATTAGCTCCTCCATCGGCCAATTTCCCGCGTCGAAGTTCAGTGCTGCCCCACGCACACGGCGAAAAGTAGGCGGGAACGCAATTTTAGCTTCACGAAACCCGTAGAAAATCTGCCCGTCGCGCATACCAGTTAACAACTCATCATGCGCTAGCACGTCATCCCATACAAATTTGTCGTCGTCCACGAGCTCGCAATCTGCTGAATATCGAATGCTGTTGATGCTCCCATTTGACGACGCAAATGCTGAGGAATTGCTCTTGACACCACGCTCCAGCATGCTAACATTAAGTTCATTGCTGTCCCTGTCACTGCTGGCATCTAGAGAACTGCCGAGACCAAAAGAGCTACTGAAACCGTAACTGCTCATAGGGCTCCACCGTCTGCCCAGCAACCCGCGGCGCAAGCTGCGATTCCGCTTAATTGGAGCAGGCTTCACAGTTTCACACTGTCGCACCATCGATACAAGCTCAAGAATGGTATCTGCGTTTGCATCACGCTTTGTCAGCCTATAGTTGAGGTCACCCAGAATAAAGCTATGGTGATGCACGTATGGAAACTCAAAGCCCACATCCTCCAGGTTCAAATGTAGTTCTTGCAAAATATCCTGTGAGTCACGATTTCGTCGCCTTACTTTTGATTTTCCCTGTCGTGCAGCACACAACGGTCCACAAAGTCAACAAATTGCATTACACTAATTGTAAAACACCAGCAATGTACCTTGGGATCCGAGGATAAATGGCACGCTACAAATGCAAACGAGGTGTCGAAGTATCGGAAAGCAAAGCCTACAGCACCTTTATTTGATGCACGGCCCAGCACCAAAGATTTGCCCACGTTGATTTCCTGCTGCACCACCGGCGGCATGTAGAAAGCACCGCTGTCGACATCTGAGGACTTAACGAACACTGTAATAGCGATATGGCCATGGTAACCCAACGAAGTGTTCTTGCTTCCAATCTCACGATTATACTGGTGAAACTTTGATGCTTTGCAAGCCCCGCTCGCTGCTGGCCTTGGACGTCCACCGTCAAGGTGCTGGCGAATCAAGCTGCGGGTATTTGCCAGGTGCAGACACTCCTGAAGGCCAATGACATAAATGTCATGACCGAGCGGTATCCACTTGTCCAATTGAGCGGGTGTGAGTTTGGCCTCACCCATGTTGAAAGTAGAGACAAAGATTTTTGCAGGCTGGCGATAGTGCTTCACCATACTAAGATCGGTGCTAGTGTTCGTAGTAGGAAACGACGGCGAGGCTACAAACTTGTGCACATGTACGATTGATGGCTTGCACAGTACGATTCGGTACAGCTTTGTAAGGAGTCCTCCGTAGATAATGGCATTAGTCAAGCCCTGAGCACACATAGTAAGCTGCATTAAAAGTGCCACCGCAAACCTTGCCGATCCAAGCTCATCGCCAAGTACTACATACATTTGTATCAATGCAATATTAGCACACTGCAACCATTCATCAACGCAAACATTACATCGTACTCACGTCGGTAGACGATGCTAGGCGTCCAGAGCACAATGAACGCTGCTATGTAAATCCTCAGCTTCGCAGTGACCAATGCCCACGACTCTTGTGCATCCAAATTCGCGTCTCGAAAGTCACGTGAAATGCGGTTGTGCGTGACCCAGAGGATCACACTGATGTAGAAAATTGCAACAATGACGAACAAATAGAAGGCCCAAAACTGCTCGGGGCGCGACTCAACCCAGCAGTAAAACGTAGCATCTCCGAACAGGCGGGCGGCGTAGAGCGCGACGCTGCAGCCGACGGCAGGCACAATGACGAGTAGTACATAGAGCTTGAACCTACTCTTGAGTCTTGCTTCACTATCACGATGGACGATTTTTCGGTGCAAACAATGAGCAATTGCTGCATTCCAGAAGACGGACATGAGGCCAAATAAATTCAATGCAAAGGCCTGTAAATTACAAACATCACTGACGACGTCTGATGTGAGTGGATTTCCAAACATTTTTGGAAACGAATGTCCTGCATCAAGGAGTGAAAGCACAACTACCATCTTTTGTACCATGGAGACACCACTATGTAGTCTTGCCGAGACGTAGTGATGACGTACAATATAGAGACAACCAACGAGTGAGAGTGCTGTACAGGATAATGTGACGATATATACCACATCTCGTTCAGATGTGGAAAGTAGTGGTTTTTCATCATTTCTTGACTCTTTTGTGGGAAACGTTTGTTGAAACCAAGTCGTTGTTTCTTTCATCATGCTACTCATGTTCGTTGTCACGTACGACAACAAATGATTACGGAGCCTAAGCCTTTGGAGGCTTACTCACTCATTCACACTCGCTTTATAATAATTTACTAACTGAACTGTTCGTCACAACACTGATCGATCGTCTTGTTGATTTCTAATGTAAATCTAGAATTCCTCAAACAACTTGATCTCAAAAAGTAGAGACTCGTTAAACAAACGAGTACTACTTACTTACTTCTTGTTTACTGATTGCTTGAACCTTGTCACGATTTGTCAAGATGATTGGGGAGAGCGGTCATCGTATGAATTTGAAAATTGTGGCTGCTCGGTATGTATTGATGACATGATAAAATCGAACTGAACTTAGAAAATAAAGGGACATTTAATGATACAGTGACTAATAATATCAACGTCTGCTTCTGGTTGCTCGATTTCTACGTCTGGTGGAACAAGTTCAGATTGTAATATAGTGGGACTAGAAAGATGATGCACTTGACCGGTGCAATTTCATGATCCATACTGTCGTTAGTGTATAGTCTTAAAATACGACATTGTCCATAATACAAAAGCTTTCTTGAGCTTTTTATCATACGGACCACTTTCACCTCTGACTTGCTCTATATCTACTCTACTGGAAGTGGTATCAATAGAACATTGACACCACTTCAGACCTCATTACAGGTATTAGTATTATATTATTATTCAATGCCCGTAATACACCTAAGAAGCAGCTGAAATATCGATTGGGCTCCGCTCAGATGTGCCATAGCTGACCACTAAATCTGACTCTGTCTTGACCGATGATAATGATGATTCATACCCCCAATGTTAGGGTACACTTCGAATCAGATTTCGTACCCCCATTGAAAAAATCAACTTTCAAGAGTCATATAAAATGCCGCTCAGTTTTTGGCGCGTAGGACTAGCGTTATTAGCGACACTAGTTGCATTCCTCTTGTCACGACCTGTGATTGAAATACTGCTTCATACGATTCGTTCACGTCTCGATAAACGTGTCCAGTACGTTCGTGAACGATATGATATTCTAGATATTAACAAAACAAAACACCATTTCCATTACCAAAAATGTTTGACTGAACAACCTCTGTAATTTAATATTGCTGTGTCATGTTACTGTGGTGTTATATATAGATGGATTGCTGATGTACAGCAATATATGCTCACGTATTTATGGTGGACTTTATTCCTCCTCTTGGTGCACAATGTCGTTGCTCGATATATTTTGGACTTGGGCAGTAAGAAAGACGAGGTGATGCAGTATTTGGGTTACCTCGTGGCCATTCCGCTTGTGCTTGGTACCTTTGCCATGCGAAAAGTCTTTGCTAATGTATGAAGTCGTATTATTTATTTTTCATACCTCTCAATCGTAATATGATTATGTCTCTTATTGTTTATGTTTTGTGATAAAATGTAATGTAGCTCTTTGTTCGGTACTTCAAGTGGGACCGTTACTCAACGGACTACGATGCACGAATTTTTGTCATTACCGAATCCATTAAGTTCGTGTGCGTTGTGCTCGTATTGATTGAGATTTTTTATATATTTTTCCTTTCAAATTCAGTCATGCGCTCATTGCTCGTCGTGGGGGTTTTGAGTGTCGAATTAGTAGCTGTTCTCTCAGGTTTTACAGTCGTGAGTGCATGGCTGGTTTGTACGTGTGGAAAAATGACTCGAAATTGATTTTGCTATGTGTTTTTTTGGATGCGATCAGCTAAAGAATGTAGCAACAGGACTTTTTCTTATCTTTGCAGAGCCCTTTCAAACGGGTAGTGAGGTCAAAGTTCGACAGATGTTAGGGTTTATCGATCGCGTATCGCTTGCTAGGACAACCATACGACGCATGGACGGATCGATGATATTTGTGCCAAATGGCATCTTTGCCGATAATTACCAGACCAGTGGCAACGCTTTGGAAGCTCACGCCCATTCGATTATGTTGCGTCTACATCCTGCTACACCTGCTCAAAAGATAAATGAGCTTGTGCAAGAGCTGCAAGCGGTACTGCCAGCGTTTGCTCTGACAGCCCAAGCAGTTGCTGCACTACGCAGAGATCACCGCGAGGTTTCTGTTATCCAGTCTAGTAGTGCTAGTAGTTTTAGTGCAAGTGCTGTAAGTGACGACAGCGCCTTGGGCGATCAACGTCAATCAGTTGCAAGTAGCAACGGTAACACTGGTGTGCCTCGTGCGCGCGAAAGATCTAGCAATACCTCCAGCGCGTTTGATGCGACTGGCCGACCAATTACACCGCCTCCTCCTCCTGTCCGCGTTGAACTTCGCGCAATGTTTCAGGTAAAAGTAACAGTACTTACGGATCGTGAACGATTTAGCACGCTCGAAAAGGCAAAGACGGAGGTCGGTACATGTCCTGCCGTCGTATCTGTGCATACGAATGATGACGTTGCGTTTATTTTGCTTTGTTCGTAGGTAAATCTTGCAATCATTGACACGATCCAGCGTATAAATGTTATCGCGCAGCAAACCGATCGGTGACTGCCGATAAAAGTGCTCGCCATATAATGCAGTCGTCGAATGCATCTTCGGCTGAGCAGCATTATTGTAATTTAATTGAAAGCAGGCAGACTTAGGCTCGACACGAATTGCATTTTATCTGCATGAGAGTTTGATTTTATAAACATCAATGTTTAGTGTTCATACAGGGTCGACACGGTCTTCAATAGGTCGGCGATAACCGCAGTATATTGCCGTCGTTTACAATACGTCGTCCAAGTGGCTCGCTTACCGGTGGTGCTCGCCTCCGTCGGCGGTGGCTAGATATATCAGCAAGCGGCTCAGCATTTCCTTCATTGATATCTGGCACCTCGGTTTTAGCTGGCGACGGGAAGGCTGCAGAACTTGGCCTAATGTATTCTCCTTCTGTTCCTTGTAAATTTAGCTGAAGTTTGGTGATCAGCTCGGTAATGCGTAGCACGATCTAAGACAAGCAATCACAATGTAAAAACGTCACATAACGCAAATATTGCAAACCATCTTCAAACAATTATCAAACCTCTGTCTTCTCGACCAACAATTCCTTTATGTGCCGCTCCTGCGAATAATAGACAACGTGCACAAGGTACGGTGCCTCAATGCTGATCCAGAAACGGTCTTGCGGTTGATGTTCTTTCATCGCATGCTGCTTGTTCCGTTCGTATACGTTCATTATATTCCACCCACCGCGTGGCTTCTCCAGTCCCAAAACGTTTCCTTTCGAATTCATGCGGGAATCAATCATATGCTTCATCAGGAAATTGTCTAGCTCCTGAATAAAAATGCGTAGCGCTGTTGTAGGTGTTGCGTGGCTTAGATGAACTGGAACAATACAGCGTCGGTCTAGACTTTTCGTCTGCACTGTTACTAAATTTTCTAGCATGATACTATTGGGAATATATGCCACGCCCTTGTCATACTGACGCATCGAAAACCCCTGCAGAAACAATCGTTCCACCACACCTTCGTGGCCTTGAAACGACACATGCAGCCCGCTCCTAATTTGTTCGTCTTGCAGCGACATCAATCCACCCATAATATTTTTCAGCTACGACGAGAATTAGCACAAAACAACATCATTAAGCACAAAGAAACAACAAGATATTAATCAAAAGAGAATAGAAAGCAATAGCATTTATCGTAGTCACGTACCCAAGAATGTGCGCCAAACACAAACACAAATTCGACCATGATGACCGCAACCGCAGACACCTGGCCCGACTCAAAGTCCGTGAATCGACCGATCTCATCAATAATACAAGTCGACACGACAGCTACTGCCAACAAAATTTTGATTACCTGTGCAACAACGGTAAAACAAAGAGCGTAAACACACAAACAATCCTTGACCATCTCGAACCGATTAGTAACCATACAAACATACTTCAATCCCTTCTGTAATAATCATGACACGACTATAATCATCATCATCTTTCGACACAGATCGACTCCAGCCTTGTACACGTATAATTCCCCATGCAACATAATTGCAAAAGCAAATAACGACCCAAACCAATGGAGGTCCTAATAGTAGAGTGATAATTCCTTGCAACGTGCCCGAGTCCATGTCCACTAATGACTCCAAGTCCATGACATAAGCTGAAAACCAGCAAAGTAGAACAAAAACTACCCAAGACAGTGGGCGCAATAGCATTTTTTCAAATTCACGTAACCACGTATACAAGACTGGAACAATACGGCGTGCGACGCGTAACGAGAATCGTACAATCTCGACACGTAGAATATAGGACCCTACAAGGATAGCAAGGCCCAATAACAACCTCCATTGATCAACTGACGAAGCCGTGGACTCATCCAATACCTCTGGTACCACAGTGGTCGTCGCAGGCTGTACCAGATCCGACGTATTGGACACGTTATTGTTGCTCATTTTTTCAAGCTCGTATGTGTTTCTATCTAAAATTTAGCTAGCAATTTGTATGCACTATCATTTTTAATTATAGTTTGTGGAGTTTTCGTCAATTTTTATAAACATGATTATTGTGTCAATATCTTTTTGTTAGCGCAAGATACTTAATGGACATTACAAATAAAGCTCTCGTCTATAGCTACATGGCTTTATCGCTTCCAAGTAATATCGCTTACATGAAGTTGTCCCATTAAGGTCGTAGTAATGGGCTAGCCCAATACCAAAGTTGCACGAGTAAAAGAGTGGCAATATACAAAGATAGAGGTGCATGCCCCTCTGTTCCCCCCCCGCCCCCCCCCCCCCCCCCCCCCCCCCCCCCCCCCCCCCCCCCCCAAACACCCCGTCCTAATACTTTTTTTCAAAATCACCTTTTAAACAAACCTTTTTTTTTTTTTTTTTATTATTGTTTTTTTTTATATTTTTTTTTTTTTTTTTTTTTTTTTCTCCTTTTTTTTTTTTTTTTTTTTTTTTTTTTTTTTTTTTTTTATTTTTTTTTTTTTTTTTTTTTTTTTTTTTTTTTTTTTTTTTTTTTTTTTTTTTTTTTTTTTTTTTTTTTTTTTTTTTTTTTTTATCTTTTTTTTTTTTTTTGCTAGACGATAAACAAAAAAATAGATCAGCTTCAAACCTGCTCTGTATAGCATGTGTTGCTAGAGCATTAGTCCTCTAAAGAAAAGAATTGTATCTGTGGATACTGGTCGGGTTGTTGCAACAAGAAGGCACAAGCTCATAAAACTAACCTTGAAAGGGATGTAAGCCTGGAGACAAAAAGCCCGTAGGGCTTGTCTCCCTCTGCACTTAGTGCAAAAGTAGCTTTGCTACGGTAGCTCTGATACACCTGATAGCACTTATAGTCAGTCTTACACCTGGGTCTGTGACTACTTCTATGTGACAATGGACATCGAAGAGATGTTCGAGGCTGGCCTATCACAGGCACAACAAGAAAGAATGTAAAATATGCTCTCTATCCTTGGCCCGAAGGGAGTGGAATACCCATCGCTTAAGGCAAAGAAGAGGTCAGCAAACGTATCCATATGCTTGGAGAATTCAATAACGCTCTGGTAGAGCATGTAAAGGCACAAACCTCTTCATCTGCGCCATCGCCTGTAGCGACTATGGTGCAAGAACGGTCAGCATACGAAAGCACATTCATGTGGAAGTCGACGTGTTCTACAGCCAAGAAGGTGATAGCCTTATGATGTGGCTACGACAGGTTTGAGTCGGCTATGCTTATAGCCAACATCACATATACATAACCCATACCGTGTTGGCTTTGCCACAAGTAAGCTGGGTGGATTAGGCAAGCAATGGGCATTCATATACGGTGCATCACTACAAGATGCTTTCCCAACAAGGGCAGATCTGAATATTTAGATAAAACGGCAGTATGCAACGCCAAATCAATCGCACCGAGCTTGGTAGCGATTTTAGCGTGTCACTAAGGTAATCGAGAGCTTGCGGCTAATGTACAAGAGCTGAGATCGCATATTTCCGCCACGGATATAGACGATCTTCATGAGGCAGTGACCGTCACGGTCTTAATAGAAGTCCTCTGAGTTGGCGTTTCCAGAACGGAAGTATTTCGTGTAAACTCGTCCTCATTCAGGAAAGCTGCTGGAGTGGCATGGAATGCCGAAACCAACTCTAAGGTCGCTAGGATTGCCACTTACAAATATACATCTGATTGGGCTGTTCCCATGGAATGTAGTCAAGTGAAGAAAATAAAGAAGCAGAAATTTGCAGAGCAATAATTGTGCGCAGAATGTTATATCTGAAAGAGCATCGGTCATTTAATCGCAAATGCTCTGCGGGAAAGGAAGATTTGGCCTTAAAAGGCCGATGTCCGATGGGCAAACCCTCTAGTTTGCCGCGGGAAACGGCAAAACTCAGTATGCGCAGGGCGTCCTACTGAGGAAGAATTGAGCTCTGTTACATCTCGAGGTCGTAGAAGTAAACAGGGCCCAGCCCCTAAAAGGCCCAAACTCACGAAATCAGAACGAGAATGCAAGCCATGCTTGCTGGTCGTCAAAAAGGCGGCCAAAGGCTTTGATAAGCCATGGATCATTTTGATCGATTTGTGGGCATCGTAAAAAAATTATGCTCAACGTGCGACCGTGGAAGGTAGTCAGCAGTACGCTGAAGCGCTAAAGCGCGTGAAAGTGACACATTCACGGTTCGCTTAGCGGCGTACGCGTGTTACAGTACACGAAATCCCGATGGGCTTAGTGAAAATCTCGTCAAATTTAACAGCATGGAACGCTGTTTGGTCTGAGACTTGATGCGAGGCATAATTTCATCCTAGCTATGGCACGGCTAGAACGTCATGAGCCATGGGTTTTTTGTGGTCGATGACCCTAGGCGCAACGCGCATTGCTCTTGGTGGGGACCTGGAGGGTCATGAACTCACCTTTAGTAGAAAGCAAACGCGCTTTTGCCGCGAATATTTGGACCAAATCTGTCAATATGCTGGATGTAGGATTATCCAACTGTGTAGACACTGTAAGTGTCGGGGACAGTAGCCCCGCCCAGGACCAATGGCTGGTTGTGAACACACTAGATGACAAATATGACATGTGTCATGAGAATTATGTTACATCATTAAGCACCATGAGTGGTGTAAGCGGCTGAGAGTCGAAATTCCAGAACAATGGGCCAAGTGATATAGGTGACGAGTTAATGGATCAAGATGGTCGGGTGAAGTCACCGATGGATTTTGTCTTAGAAGACATCAAGGTGCAACCACCTTGTGACGAGGTGCTGGCTTACGAGGGTCGGGTGTAGTCACCAATGGATGTTGTCTTTGAAGAAAACGAGGTGCAAGCGCCTGATGAAGATGCATTGAACCAAGAAGGTAGGGTGCAATCAGGAAACGGAGTGGTCTTTCACCTTGAGGTGTGTACACCTGTGGATGCTGACGCGCCGGATGCTGAGAGCATCATAAGTTGCGATAATTTCATCGTAAGTGACAGTGATAGCTAGCAGCTATATATACTCTTCAATGGTTTGACTGAGGATGTCGAAACGCCAGTGACTCTTTCAACTATACCCGCAGTAATTGCTCTGTTAGATCTGAACGAGTTGTCCTTTGCCGAGTTTTGCAGTGTCTTACAGGCAGGAGACATCGCCGAAGCGGTCGTTATACGACCTGAGTAGGAGTTGAACACTTCATCGCTTTTGTATAAAGCAGTTCTTGAAGATACCAAGAAGGCGCTGAATGCGCGCAGTGGATTGCAAATCCTGAGGGACCCATCGGATCGTTAATTATCTTTGTTGAAGATATATGGCGATGTTGTCTCCTGAGAACCTCCTACAAGGTTACCTCTGGATAGTGGTGTACGTAATGAGATGGACTTGGTTTCAGGAACCAAACACTTTGTGACGCGACAATGACCGCTACCAGGAGAACGATTTGACGTCATTGACGAGTTCTTTCGTGCAAAGCACGCGGATGGAATGGTGCGATGAGAGTAAGTATCCTCACTCTACGCCCAAAATTTTGGATAAGAAAGTCTAATGGGAAGTGGCGAATAGCGCATGCTTACAATATGTTGAATGCAGCCGCTATTACGTCTCACTGACCGATTCCTCGCAAGGATGTTTTTCAGAACAATATGGTGGGATGTACGCTGTTCAGTGCCCTCGACTTAGTCGATGGATATTACTAACTGATCATGCGAGATAGTGATATCCCGCTCACAACGGTCAGCGCAACAAGCGGTATGCTCTGGGAGTGGTTAGTAATTCCTTAAGGGCTGTTTAACGCACCTACAACGTTCAATCGTCAGGTGACACAATTGTTCGGCCGATATGGGGAGTCTCTTCCGCACCGAAGATGCATTTGTCAATATTGGCATATAACTTAGGATACATAAGTTATATTCAACATTGACGAATGCATCCTCGGTGCGAAAAGAGACTCCCTTTTTGGGATGCTTCATTGGGAAGCGAGGAATCCGAGCAGACCCTGTCAAGTTTAAAGCCATTGTGCATTGACCGGTTCCGAGGAGCCAAAAGGACCTCCGCAAGTGGTTGTGTTTGGCAAATTACTTGCGTAAGTATAGCCAAAACTATGCGGAAGTGGCTAGGCCATTGTCAAATCTCCTTAAAAAGGATGTGGAATGGTGTTGGAACACCGAGCACCACGAGGCTTTTGAAGCCATGAGGGAGAGTCAACTTCAGGCGCCAATTTTGAATTTTCCTGATAATAATCGCCCGTCTAGGATCATTTGTGACGCTTCGGACAAGTAGACGCTGAGGGTCAAAAACGCGTCATTGAGCTGGAATCTTGCCAGCTCACATTTTCGGAGAAAGACTATGAATTTTATGATAGGAGCTACTTGCTATGAAGAATGTTCTTGTTAACTTCGGGGTATACATGTTAGGTTCAAAGATGTTTGTGATCGATACAGCTCATGCGTCATTACGCACAGAGACACAGTCGCCTCATCTCTCGCAAAGAATGTCTCCTTAGCTCTCCATTTTTGCGAAGTATAACTTCGAGGTGAAGTATAAGCCGGGAAAACAGAATGTTTTGCGTACGCATTATCGCTTGGACCTTACCATAAGCTGCTCATCTCACTGTTGTGAGTTCGTCAGTAATAGATCGTATCCTTATATCGCATGCACGCGATGAGGCATGTGTTGCCATTCTCTAAGCACTAGGTAACGCCGATTTGACACTCTAAGGTGAATCTTTTGCCTCGTAATCGGTTTCGATTACATTGCTATGCGCTGATGGATGGTCAGTTGTACTATATTACAGGCCTGGTTTGCGGTGACTCATTATGAGGAACTTAAGTATCAGTGACTTGATGAGTCTCATGTTACGCCACTTGGCGGCCACTTAGGTCGTGCAAAGACCTACAGCTCGATGCGTGCCCATTATTGGTAACCCAAGGTGTATAAATGGGTTGGTACGTATGTACGAACGGGCGGAACGTGTCAACGGGTGGAACCCTTGCCTA